GGACAAAGGTCTCATCAGCCATGTGCAGCCCACCCTGCTCAGACCATATTTAAAGACAGCTCTTTTCCGCTCCAGGGACAACACCAATGGACCCATCGGTCCCCTCTGCCCCCTCTCTTCCTTCCCTCCACCTTCACCACTCTCTTAATCCTCATGCATGTCTGCACCATGTTGTCTAGTGTCTAATGTATGAATGAACAAGCTCCCTAAAGACAAAGGGCACACTCACCCCTCTTTACCCCACAGACAGCAGGAGCTTGCCTAGGGTAGGTCCCCAGGAACCCTGGGGATAAAACGTCACAGCAGACATGTCCAATTCCATGACTAAACAGTCATGTGAGCTCGGTCACTTGCTTCCCCTTCTGCTTTGGTTCGATGGATGGCCATCGGCCCTGGCTCTGCAGCCTCCGTGGTGACTGGGAGCAGATGGGGAACATCTGAGGGCAGCATTTTGACGGGATAAGAAGCAATAACTAATATAAAAATTAGCCGGGGAGCCGGGCGCGGTGGCTCATGCCTGTAATCCCAGCATTTTGGGAGGCCGAGGCAGGTGGATCACCTGAGGTCACGAGTTTGAGACCAGCTTGGGCAACATGGTGAAACCCCGTTTGTCTCTACTAAAAATATAAAAATTAGCAAAGTGTGGCCGGGCGCAGTGGTTCAAGCCTGTAATCCCAGCACTTTGGGAGGCCGAGACAGGCGGATCACGAGGTCAGGAGATCGAGACCATCCTGGCTAACCCGGTGAAACCCCGTCTCTACTAAAAAAATACAAAAAACTAGCCGGGTGAGATGGCAGGCGCCTGTAGTCCCAGCTACTCAGGAGGCTGAGGCAGGAGAATGGCCTAAAAACTCGGGAGGCGGAGCTTGTAGTGAGCTGAGATCCGGCCACTGCACTCCAACCTGGGCGACAGAGCGAGACTCCGTCTCAAAAAAAAAAAAAAATTAGCAAAGTGTGGTGGGGTGCACTTGTAATCCCAGCTACTTGGGAGGCTGAGGCTGGAGAATTGCTTGAACCTGGGAGGCAAAGGTTGCAGTAAGCTGAGATCACATCACTGCACTCAAGTCTAGGCAACACAGTGAAAGAGTGAGACTGTCTCAAAAAAAAAAAAAAAAAAAAAAAGCAGCAATGACTACTCTAAAACCTAAGGTCAACCAACAGCCACCTTGGCGGCAGATCCCCAAGCTGCTGGTAACAATAGCCACCATTTACTGGGTTCTGTCATGCGCCAGACCCTGTCTTAAGTGTTTACATACATTATCTGCTTTAATCCTCACCACAACCTGGAAGGAAGCTGAGACTCAGAGACCTTCATTCATTTGCCAAGGACACACAGCTAACAAATGGAGGTGTCAGCATTCAAACCTGGGGCTAGAGCCAGGCATGGCGGCACACACCTGTAGTCCCAGCTATTCAGGAGGCTGAGGAGGAAGGATCACTTGAGCCCAAGAGTTTGAGACCCCATCTCTAACAGTGTTTTTTAAACCTGGAGTGTCTGACTCAGGAGCGTGTGCTCATTCCTTCCCCGCATGCTGCCTGCACACATTCTCTTCCATGCAAGCCCTTCATCTGCTGACATCACTCCTATGTAACAGGCACCACGGAGGAGGCGGGAAAGACCCAGCCCTCAAGTCCACACCCCAGCAGGGACAATTCAGGACAATGAGAACTCTGAAGGCATGGGAACACAGGGAACTGGGGGTCAGTGCCATATTCTATTCAGCTGCTTCCCTGGCCTGACACTGAGTAGTCACCTGGTACATGTCAAACAGGTCTGAACAGAGTTAGAAACCAAGGCAGGGTGACCCCAAAGGAAGGAACATGCACATGTCACTCAGAGGCCATGGTGCCTCCACGTCCACCTTAGGCAACTATGTCCTCTCCAGAACAGGGTGAAACTGGTTTCCATCAAAAACTCTATAAGATATTAATAGGTGGTAAAAAATAATAGAATAATAAATTGAAGATTGATATTAAATATTTTAAACAAAGAGCAGTTTTTAACTGCAGAATTCAGAACTTTTAGCAAGCTTAGAGGCAATGCATCTCTTTACTTAAACACTTTTTAAATTAAAAAAATAATAATAATAGTGGCCAGGCGCGGTGGCTCACATCTGTAATCCCAGCACTTTGGGAGGCCAAGGCAGGCAAATCACTTGAGGTCAGGAGTTCAAGACTAGCCTGGCCAACATGGTGAAACCCCGTCTAATAAAAAGACAAAAAATTAGCTGGGTGTGGTGGTGTGTGCCAGTAGTCCCAACTACTTGGGAGGCTAAGGGAGGAGAATCACTTTAGCACGGGAAGTGGATGTGGCAGTGAGCCGAGATCACGCCACTGCACTCCAGCCTGGCCAACAGAGTCAGTCTCAGTCTCAAATAATGTTGATAATAATAATAATGGAGACTGAGGTCTCACTATGCTGTCCAGGCTGGTCTTGAGCTCCTGGGCTCAAGCAATCCTCCTACCTTGGCCTCCCAAAGTACTGGGATTACAGGTGTGAACCACCACTTCCCGCCCTTGCATTTCTAAAAAGAGGAAGCAGAAAGCAGTGTTTCCCAAATGTCTTTCAAGAGATGCCTATCAGTGTCCTAAGGAACACCAAGGGTCTGAGGCATCACCTTGCAAACACTGGATCAGGCATGGGCCTCTTGTTTTGAAACACAATTCATGGGTTATCAAATATGGAAACATTCTCAGAGATCAGCTAGCCTGCCACTCGTTTTATAGATGGGGAAACTGAGGCCCAGAGAGGGAAGAAGGTTGCCAAGGCAACACAGGGCCTCTACAGCCATTGGGCCTTGACCCCAGCCCTTGGAGTCCAGAGGCCCAGCTCCAGCTGCCTGTTTGGCTGGGCCAGGTTCCAGGTTTCTATGTAGGTCTGTCCCATCAAACCCTCAACTCCTCAAAGCCAAGGTCTGGTCTCTCTCACCTCCCAGTCCCTACTCCTGGCCCAGTACCCTCCACAGAGGATACATTCACAGAAGTTCCCAGCAGCTGGAAAGGCTCAGGGTAGACGCCAGGAAGGGCTTTCCAGCAGCTGCGTACAGATGGCAGGAATGGGCAGTGAACTTCTCTGAAGGCTTCTCAGAAAAGGGCAGAGGCCGGGCTGCCAGAGGCAGTGCAGGGCACTGGCTCCAGCTTCCTGGTTTCCAGAAAGGGTGGAGTTGGGAGTGAAGGAAGATTCCAACCCCAAGAGCTGCCTTCCTGGCCTGGGTCTGAGACCCTCAGCTTGCACCAGAAACAGGGAGGGGCGAGAGCCCCTGTTGGGACAAGCCATGGAATGCCATCCTCCTCCCCCAGAGTTCAGGCCCTTTGCCTCCAGGAAGCCACTCCTGCCCACTACAGCCTCCCTGATCTTTTCCTCCTTGGAACTCTGACAGCAACTCAGCTCAGGGAAGGTGAGCCGAGGCTGAGCACGGCCTCAGGGGCTCCCAACAGGAAGTGGAGACTGGCCCATCCTCTAGGCCATGCAGTAAGGAGGCAAAGCACATCTGAAGGTGTCTACTCCTCTGAGGGAAAGTCATAGAGAAAAGAATTCCAACCAAGGTCCCCAAGGTGTGTCCCAGAAGTGGACCTCTCAGTGGGGCTGCAGCAGTGCCTAGATCGCCAGGAGGCAGCAGGAGAACAGCGCTCCAGGGGAAGGCAGAGCAGGCCCAAAGGCCCAGGCAAGGAAAGGAGGCAGGAACAGGAACACCTGCAGCTGCACTTGCAGCCTAGGGGCAGTAAAGCAGAGTGGTCAGAGGTTTGGCTGGGACCAACCACAGGTCCCAGTCCACATCCTACCATCATTTGCTGGACAAGCTCAGGCCCATCGCTGAATCGCTTTGTGCCTCAGTTTCCTTCCTAAAATTTGAGAATAATAGCATCTACTCATAGGGTTGTTGGGAGGATGAAGACCGATGACAGGAGCCCTCAGAGCTGAGCTAGCACCTGGGGAGGCCCTAGAGTGTCGCCTTCGCTGTTAAGGGGCATGGCACAGGAGGCCCTCCCATGACAGTGGAGCTTGTCATCCCAAGCAGGAGTGCCACCGGTCTGACATTAGGATTCAAAAAGCAAATTATAAACTCCTGACGGTGAGGCCGCGGTGGCTGCTCGGTAAACACTTGTGCACTTGACCTGAGGTGAGCATGCTCCACACCTCCCAGTGCTGGCCTAATAGCTAAATGATTTCCTCTGACTCACATTTATTGAGCAGTCACAGTCACTATGCTAGGTAGGGGTGTGTGTGTGTGTGTGTATGTGTATTCTTATTCAATTCTCTCATTACTTGGGGATATCACAGGTGCATAAGATTATCAGCATTGTACATATGCAAAAGCCGAGTCCTGAGAGGTTAATAGCATGATTTGCCTAAGGCCCCTTGGGTATTAGTGGCAGGATTTCTTGACTTCGAGTCACTTTCCGCTGCACCCCAGACTGAGGATGACACAGCCTTATCCAAAGGTGGAGGTGGCCTAGAAATTGCTCAGGGGAACTCCCACAGCCACCCCAGTGCACCCAGACTCGGCTGAAGACCCGCAGGGCGGCTTCTGTCTGTCACTACGCTGCCCTCGACCACTAACCTGTGCCCATCGGCCCTCCACCTTCCCAGTGCATAGTTCCTCCCCTGTCACACCCTGAAGCTCTCTGGATACCCCAGTATAACCTGCCTGGCTGGCGGGTCCAGTACCCAAGCCCACTCCTCCATCCCTGGTGATTTTGGTTCAGCATCCAGAGACTCGGTGAAGATTTCCCCGGGAACTTCAAGCCTGCACCTCAGCCTCAGAAATTCAGAATCAACCTGTCTGGGGTGGGATCTGGGCTCCAGTATGTTTTTGTTGTTGTTGTTTGTTTGAGACAGAGTCTTACTTGTCACCCAAGCTGCAGTGCAGTGGCGCCATCTCGGCTCACTGCAACCTCCACCTCTTGAGTTCAAGTGATTCTCCTGCCTCAGGCTCCCATGTAGCTGGGATTACAGGTGCATGCCACCACGCTCAGTTAATTTTTGTATTTTTAGTAGACATGGGGTTTCACCATGTTGGCCAGGCTGGTCTCGAACTCCTGACCTCAGGTCATCTGCCCGCCTTGGCCTCCCAAAGTGCTGGGATTACAGGAATGAGTCACCATGCCTGGCCCAGTATGTTTTTCTTAATTCCACAAGTGATTCTAAATTCAACAAGAATTAGAGCCAGTCCTAGGCAACTGATTAGAAATGCAGAACCGCAGGCCCCACCCCAACCTGAAGAATCCCAGTGCACTTCCCATGTGAGAAACACTGCCCTACGCCAAACCCCACATCCACAAGCCAGGCCCTGTGAAAGGCCCCCACAGGGCAACTGGAGGTAGGAGGATGCACAGGCCAGATAGAATTAAAGAGTGGATTGCCAGGACCCTCCAGGTCACATCCACACGCACTCAGAGGTGCTAAATGCTTTCCCTGTGTTCCTTCATCCCATCTCAGCCCTGTCCTCTGAGAGTCAGGAAGACAGTCTCATGCCTGTGTGGGGAAACTGAGGCGGGGGCAGAGCCTCAACTTGACCAGACCGTCCCTCACTCCTGCATGGCCCCTGGCTCTGCAGCCAGTAGATTTCCTGACCTTCATCTCAGTGTATCCTGCAGGGCAGGCAGAGAGGGAGGGTGACCATTGCCCCATGTGACAGGTGAGGGACCATGGACCCAGGGTGCGGAACACAGGTGGAGCCTTCCATAAAGCAGGGTCAGTTCCCTCAGGAAGAGGACTTGGGAGCTGGGGGGTGAAGGGTAACTGCTGACCAGAGGCAGCTCTGCCAGGCAGTGTCATCAGTGGGTTTCATGTTTGAATGACAGATATTTCTTTCCTCTCCTCCTCTCTGGGGCCCATCTTCTGAGTAAATCTAGGACCTGCCTTAACAAAAGCCAGGCCAAGTCCCAGGAAAACTCTGTTGCTCTAGAAAGGCCTCCTTGGGCCATGGAAGGAAGCCTGGATTTCCACCATTACGCTTAGACCACAGGCCCCTCTCTGCTGCGGAAGAAACACCCAGAGAGAGGGCAGGTTACAGAGCCCACCAGGCACCACACCTTGCCATGGACGGTGACAAACCCTCACTTCAGGACACAGAGGTGATGGGGGGTGGGGTAAGGGGGTCAAGGCATCCCTGGGGAAGGGTCAATAATGAGGGGTAAAGGGACCCCTGCCACCCCTAGCAGGGAAAGGAGCAGAAGGTGACACTGGCCCTCCTGTTGTCCTGCTGGGGCAGAGGCCCAGGTGTCTTCAGCCAGGATCCCCCCCCTCTCCAAGCTCCCTGCTCTTCAGGAATGAGTGTGGGTCCTTCACCCTCCCCTGCTGGAGAACACTGGGTTCCCAGGGTCTGGGATGGGATGGAGGGGATCCCAGTTGCCAGCATGGTGGGCAGGGATGTGTTTGCAGCAGGGGCCCCAACCACACACACAGCACTGGTCATCTGACAGCCCTTCCCACCCCCCTGCAGGCCCACCTGCCTCACCCAACACTGCTCAGCAGAAAGCCCAGCACAGTCCTGAGAGGAAGGCAGTGTCTGTGCGGGGACAAGGGAGACAGAGAGGGAGTGGCCCCTTCTGTCTAGCGTGGCTTCCTGCAGACAGAGCGTGCCCACTGCTACCCCCACCCCCATCCTGGCCCAGCTGGGCCAAGGAGGGCAAAGGAGGAAGCAGGGAGTTAGAGAGGGGGCAGCTGTGGGACCCCACATTCCACCTCCTAACTCTGGGCTCTTTCCCTCCACAACCACCCCTCCTGCCCCAGGGGGGTCTCAGGCCAGTCACAGACACGGCAGAGAGCGGGGAGGCCCTTTCCTCAAAGAGGAGGAACTGAGGGGTGGAAGGATGAGTGGGGACCCACCGGGAAAGAGAGATGCCAGGCAGGCAGGCAGCGGGCGGGCAGCAGCGGGTGTTGGAGGCGACTGCGGGGCAGCCGGGACACGACTGGGTAGATGCTCGTCCCTCGTCCCTCTGTCCATCCAGGGCGGCTCCTCTCCGGGCGGTTCTGAGGCCGAGCGGGCGCTGTTAAAAAGCTTTTTATGTGTGTGTGTGTTAATCACATGATTGCCGTTCACCTGTATTTCGAACAAAGACAGCTCACTGTTTCAAGGCCCCGAACAAGAGTCTGGGCACAGGGAAGAGAAGGGAGGCGGGGGGAGGAGGGTTGGCAGCGCCGGGGGTGGCGTCGAGGAAAACTGGGGGGAGATTGTCCAAGGCCAGCAAGCGAGAGAAAGAGAAAACCCTTATCAAACTCCTAATTCACTGGGCTCCGAGGCCCCAGACACACTGGCCCGATTGTCTGGCTGGTTGTGTGTGTGAGCATGTGTGTGTGTGTGTGTGTGTTCCAGTGTCCGCTCCCCCCACCCCCAACATGCCTCTGCCTCGTGTGACTACCTCATTGTGTCCCATTACCCACCCCCAACACCCCTTTGGCCTTTCCCAAGCATGAGGCCTTGCCTCCCAGACCCCTTGTAGCCCACTCCAGACAGGACCCCTTGGGGTGGGCTTGGGGCCTTGCCCAGCTACTGAGGAGCTGAGAACCACACATGGTCACCAATGTGGCCCCGGCTCCATTGCATACCCCACATACACCCCACCTCAGCCTCAACACCCGGGCAGGGCTGCCCTCAGTTAAGAGTACAGCACTGTGACCTTTGGAGGAGAGGCCTAGGAAAGAGAGAGGAAAAGATGTCACGGGAGGATGGCCAGGAAAGAAAAGGGGAGGGAGGGAGAGGTGGGCAGAGGACGGAAGAGGCAGGGCAAGTCCCCACCCCTTCTTGGGGTCAGGGAATAGAGGACTTCATGACAACCAGGACTAGTACTCCCCCACCCTCTCCCAAGACAAGGTGAGCCCAGTGTGGAAGGAGTTGGGTCCCAGGAAGTAGGAACCCAAAATGCCTCCAAGACCTACTGAGAGAGGACCCTACCCTGTCCCACCTTGGCCTCCTGGCAGCTTTAGTCTTGTGTTTCCACCTTGAACCAGACCAGCCCATGTGTGTGCTGGGTGTCTGCAGAGAACAGACCAGGGGTCAAGCTGGGGCTCTACACTTCTCAGAGGGAGCGCTGAGAAGTCCCTCACACTGTGCAGGATGGGGCAGAAAGGGCCGCCTGGTAAAAGATGGGAGGCAGGGTGAGGAGCTGGGCATCAGTGCCTGGCACACAGTAGGCACTCAACAGGATTTTGCAGATGAAGCAGCTCGGGCCTGCCACCCTCACAGGCCTGCAGGACCCTCACCACCTTCACGTCTCTCCCTAGTTCCCTGCCAAGTGCCCATCCTGCCACCTGAGGCAGACTTTGGGAGTCCCAGTTGGGCCCAGTTTTCTTCCATTCAACAGGTTCTGAGCCTCCATCCTACATCTCTGCCTTTCCTGGCCTAACCTCTCCTTCGCCTCCCGGACTAAGCTCAAGCTAAGCCCCAGCGAGATGGGCCTGGACAGCAGGGCAGGGAGCTGGGTGGGGGGGCCTGGGCTCCGGGTGGAGGAGCCCTGAGTGTTGGGGATGAAGGAAAGCCTGGAGGCTCCACCTTCTGCCCTTCCCTCCCTCCTCTCCCCCTCCCCCCTCTCCCCCTCCTTCCTTCCCCAGCCCTCTGCAGCGGCTCAGTCGCTCAGTCAGTCTCGGGCTGTCCGGCCAGGGTGGTTGGTGGTAAGGATTGAGGCTCCGTCCTACCGAGGCCGTGGCCTGAGGCTCAGGGCTCCCCGCCCCTCCCTCCCAGCCCACCAGCGTTACCCCCCAGCCCCGAGCTGGACCGCACACCTTGGGACACGGTTTTCCACTTCCTAAGGACGAGCCCCAGACTGGAGGAGAGGTCCGAGGAGGTGAGTGCACAGCCTGCTCCTCCCTGGCCCGCCCAGGCCTGGGACCCTGCTGGGTGGGGTGGAGAGAGGCGACACCCCGCCCTTGCCCCCCACCTGGCTCTCCTCTAAACCCCGTTGGGGCAGGCTGAGGGAAGAAGGAAAGGTGAGAGAAAAAGTGGGAAATTCCAGGGGCCAGGATTAGAGCAAAATAAAGGTTCCGTTTTTTTCTTCCTATCATCAACAAACCTCCACCCAAAAAAGGAGGCTAAAAAAAAAGCCACCCACACCAAGAGACGGTTGGGACCAGGTGGTGGGAAGACGCAGAGGCAGGACGCACCCACCTAGAGTCTGGCATGTGCGTGGGCCCCAGGGGCCAGAGTGGGTTTAGCTGGAGCTAGGAAGGGCCGCCACCTCGGGGCTGTCCCCGCGTCCTGTCCCAGGCCGCCCTCGAGGCTGCGTGCGCGGTCGCTCCATCGCGCCCTCCTTCCATCCAGGTGGGCGTTGGACTCTTTGCGAGGACCCCGGCGGCTGGCCCGGGGGAGGCGGCCGAGGCGGCGGCGGCGGCGGCCGGGGGCGACATGGCGGAGGAGCAGGACCTATCGGAGGTGGAGCTGAGCCCCGTAGGCTCGGAGGAGCCCCGCTGCCTGTCCCCGGGGAGCGCGCCCTCGCTAGGGCCCGACGGCGGCGGCGGCGGCGGATCGGGCCTGCGAGCCAGCCCGGGGCCTGGCGAGCTGGGCAAGGTCAAGAAGGAGCAGCAGGACGGCGAGGCGGACGACGACAAGTTCCCCGTGTGCATCCGCGAGGCCGTCAGCCAGGTGCTCAGCGGCTATGACTGGACGCTGGTGCCCATGCCCGTGCGCGTCAACGGCGCCAGCAAGAGCAAGCCGCACGTCAAGCGGCCCATGAACGCCTTCATGGTGTGGGCACAGGCGGCGCGCAGGAAGCTCGCGGACCAGTACCCGCACCTGCACAACGCCGAGCTCAGCAAGACGCTGGGCAAGCTCTGGAGGTGAGCACCCGACCGCCCCCCGGGCTCGGGCCCTCTGGCTTCGGGTGGATTCAGGGTAGCCGAGGCGGCCCGGCCTCCTGCACCCCGGAGCGGGACTGCCTGGCAGTCCTCCTTGGATAGGGCTGGAAGACCAGGTGTGGGGACCCCGCCCGCCCTTCCACCACAAGGACCCTAGAACTCCGAATTCCAGCAGCCTAGGCCGGGTCTTCCCACCGGGTGGCGGGCAGGAAGGCGCCCCCTCGTGGTTGGAATTTTGGGGGTGGCAGACCGTGGGGCCTGGGGCTTCGGAGAAAGGGAAGGAAGCCTTCACTAACTCCCTGCCCACAGATATGCACACTCATGCCACCAGCTGCTGTGGTCAGGAGGATTCGAGGGAAACGCTTGGAAAGAACCAAAGGGTTGGCTGGAGATGCAGGGAAACTGAGGCAGTCAGATGGAGAACTCAGGGGAGGTTCAAAGAAAACAAGGAATTCAGATGAGAGTCTTTGGAAGAGTGGGGGATGAAGAACTGCGGGGACAAATGTTTCTGCTGCTGCAGGATCTCATCCTATGCTAGGGGTCTTCCCTGGGACTTTCTGACCCCACCCTCCTTTGAGTTGGGGGCTTCTTCATCCTCCTAGGGAGAGGACACACAGAAAGGGGCCTCCCCCTCCTGCTCTGCCCCAGAGCCACCAAGTTGATCTCTTTCCTTTCCTCCCTCTCCCAGTTCGGCGCCATCTTCCCTGCCAGGGCCCCACCCCAACGTTGAGCAACCTCTTCCCCCCTGCCCCAGAGCTGGAACTGAGCACTCTGGCCAGAAGGAAACCTTGGCCCCCTTCCTGCCCAGGGGCCGTTAGAGTCCCAGGTTCCCTGGGACCAGCCCACACCTCTAGGAAAAACATCCCCCCCAGGGAACAATTCTGCCACCCTCGACTCAGGTCTGGGGTTCAGCCAGGCCTCCTGGGGATGTGTGGAACAAGGCAACCCCCTACTCCCACCCCGGGAATGCCAGAGCAGCTCCGAAAGAGAACAGGGACTCCAGGAGATGTGAGTCGGTAGCAGTCACCTGATTCCCGCTAGACTGGCCAAGAGACAGGCCCAGAAAGGCAAAGGAATTGCAAAGGTCACATAGAAGTTAGTGGCAGAGCCAGGGCCAGAACCCAGGACTCCCATACTCTCTGTCCAGAGGACTTCCCCTGACCCTGGTGACAGTGGTGGATCACCTACACTCTGAGGAGTGGTCAGAATGTTGTGGGGAAGCAAGAAGATAAGAACAAGAGTGAGGAGCATCTGGGTTCCAGAAAATTAGGGCTTTGTCAGAGGAGCCCAGCTCTCTTCCACTGCCCTTCCCCGTGCTGACCACAGTTGGGTAGAGATTGGGTCTAGAAGCTTAGCGTGGTAGAAGGTGCAGGAGGGTCTCCAAGAGACCAAAAGATTCACATCCAGCCCCCTGGCCTGTTCTTGCCATGTGTTTGCTGAAGACCTGGTGCCCCTTCCCCTGCCCCTTCTCAGCCCTCAGTGCCCTGCTCACCCAGGGCAGGCCCAGGGCTCAGCAACCAGCCCACTGTGTGGACCCAGACAGCCCAGTTCTGCTCAAGAGTAGAGGTCACAGCTAGCTCCTCTGCCCAAGGTCCATCCAGATCTGGGTGGGGCTTGGCCCAAGCCAGTACCTTTAGTGCCAGGGGACAAAGAAGAGCAAGTGAGAAACAGACAACCAGGAGAGACATACAGACAGGGCAGACCCTGAGGACCATAAGAAGACCACAGTGCGAGCCCAGTGAGAGTCAAAGCAAGGACGGACCTAATTCTTCCTCCATCTCCCATTGCCAAGGGTTTAAGATTGGCTCCTCCATTGTCCCTGTCCCCAGGTTCCCCCAGCCCAGAACCCTGGGCTTGAACTCCCTTCAGGAGGACTTATTCTTGGCCATCACTCAAGCTGTGTGCACACGAGCCAGCCTGAGGTGTGGCAGTCAGGAAAACTGGCACTACTAGCTGAGGACCCAATCCCAGGGGGAGGACAGGGCCAGAACCATGGCAAGGATCAAAGGCAATGCCAACAGATGGTGGCTCTCTGGACCCTGGAGGGGGTTCCTGAGAGACCTGTGGATATGCACTGGGCTGGCCAATTGCTCCAGGGGCTTCTCCTGAAACCTCCTGAAGCTGTGACTCCCAGGATGTCAAGAAGGGGGGTAGTTAGGCAGGCAGAGCTAGAAAACAGGTGTCTTAAAACCAAAAAGAGAGAGATACACACAGACTGTGTGGAGTGCCCCAAGGGAGTGTGGGATCAGACACACTGGAGCCCAGGTGCTAAGGGGCCGTGTGAGCCCCAACAGTCACGCTAACTTTTGATGCCCATCTGGGGAGGGACTAGTAAAGGCTGATCACAGGGTGGTGCCTGTGGGTTGGTTGACCTGCCTGGAAAGAACCAGAGCTGAGAAACTGGAAAGGTGGACACAGGCAAGAGTCCCTCCTGTGTGGTGGGGGTCACCCAGCCTGTTCCCAGTGCCACAGGCCCTTCCCCAGGTAGTCTTCTTATGCCCCTGGCCTAGCAGGATATATGTAGCAGCACTCAGTGCCCCACTGTGGGAGCTCCCCAGTTGGGGTTTCCAGTTTGGGTGAGGAATCAGCCTACCTCTTCTCGCCCCCATTCCAAACCTGGAAGACCAGGGAGAAAGAGGGCTGACAGGAAGGTGCAAATGAGGACTGAGTTTGGAGTTAGAGCTGGGGGTGACATGGGGGGTTGGGGGCTGGTAATGTTGAGTGGGGACTGGTGCTGGAGATTGGGTTTACATGGTGGGCAGGCTGGGTTTGGGGTTGGGTTGGAGGTGGAATCAGCTGTCCAGCACAGCTGTTGGAGGAGGGGGCTGGGGTCGGGGATGGCAGTGGTCCCGGGCTTAGGTTTCTGTCAGGGTTAGGCTAATGCTGGGAACTAGCTTAGCAGGTGGCAGTGGAATCTGATGTTGGAATCCTCCCTCTCTTCTGGCCCCTGTCACTTTCTTGCTGATGCCAGCTGGGCAGGGGGCAAGGGAAGGATGGGTGAGAGAGTGAGCTTTGTGTCCTATGTCCCCAGCCATCCCAGAAGCCCCTCTGCTGGGGCCCACTGCTGGCGGAGCAGCTCTCTCCTCTGTGGGTTCTCCCCAGTCACACCCTCAAGGCCTGCTCCACCCCCTCCCCTGGTCCCAGCCATCAGAGAGGGTGCCCACATCCCACTCCCTGACTCTCAAGGCCTTGCTCCAGCATCTTTGTCCTAAGTGTGTACACTGACAGTCTCAGCTGGAGGGACCCTTTGAGAAAGCTGGGGCTAGGGCTGGGCTCAGGGCGGGGGTAGGGGGAGTAGACAGGGAGGCTAAGCCGCAGAGGAATGCTGCTGCCGGCTAGGAGGTGCCTGGCATGACCACCCCCGCCCAGCCTGGGGAGGGAGGGCTCGGCCTTCTGCTGACTGGGGGAAGAGGGCACCCACTGGGATATGAGGGGTGGGGCAGTTGGAGAGAGAGGCCCTCCAGACTGACAGACAGGGCTGCTCCCACAAAGCCTCATGGACTCTCAGTACCAAGGTCTGGGATTCTAGAATCTGTGGACTTTCCCCTCGGCCCCCTCTGTAAGGTACCCCATCCTGCCCTCCTTACCCTGGAGTAGCCAAACCCTGAACACCCTCCACCCTCCAACCCTGGCCTGAGGTTGGAGTTGGTGGCAAGGGCGCTGGCTTCAGGGTTTCTTCTCTCCATGTGTTGGTTTCAGGGACTGTTCCA